ATTATTAGATTACTATTATTTTATTTCGAATAAACTTGTATGAATATAAATAATTATTTTAAAACAAAACAAAAGGTTATAATGATTCGAAATATATAATTGTTCAAATAGTCATAACTATTTGAACTGGTTCGGTGAATAGATTTCTTTTTTAAATCTCCTACTCATTAATTTTTCAAATATTAATAAATTAGTATTATTTTATTCCTAATAGGCTTATTTGATGAAAAACAATTTTTTTATGACAAAACAAAAGTTCATAACGATTTGAAACAAATAATTGTTCAAATGGATAAAATTATTTGAACTGATTCGATAAATTGATTTATTTTTTAAATCTCCAACCTCTTAATTTTTGAAATATTAATAAAGTAATATTATTTTATTTTGAATAAGGTTTTATGAACTGAAACACTTGTTTTATTCTAAAACCAAAGGTTATAACAATTTTAAATAGATAATTGTTTAAATAGTCATAACTATTTGAATTTGTTCATTAAACAGATTTATTTTTAAAATTTTTTTACTTATTAATTTTTTGAATGTTAATAAAATAATATTATTTTACTTCCAATAAGCATGTATGAATTGAAACAATTATTTTATGACTAAACAAAAGGTCAAAACGATTTGAAATAGATAAATAGTCTAATAGTCTTAACTATTTGAACTAGCTTGGCAAACATATTTATTTTTTAAATCTCTTATTAATTTTAGAATGTTAATAGTTTAGCAATATTTTATTTCGAATAAGCTTGTATGAACAGAAAAATTATTTAAGGACAAAACAAAATGTCCTAATGATTTTAAATAGATAATTACTTAAATACTTATGACTATTTGAACTTGTTTGGTAAACATATTTATTTTTAAAATCTTTGACTTATTAATTTTTTACATATTAATAAATTAATATTATTGAAATCTGAATAAGCTTGTATTAACAAAAATAATTATTTTATTACAAAATAAAAACTCATAATGATTTGAAATAAATAATTGTTCAAATAGTCATAACTATTTGAACTTATTGGCTGAATAGATTTATTTTTTAAATCTTTTACTTATTAACTATTGAAATATTAGTAAATTTGTATTATTTTAATTGAAATAAGCTTGTATGAATAGAAAAAATTATTTTATGACAAAACAAAAGGTTATAGGAATTTGAAATGGGTAATTGTTCAAATAATCATAACTATGTGAATTTGTTCAATAAACAGATTTAGTTTTTAAATCTCTTATTAATTTTTAAAATATTAATAAATTAGAATTATATTATTTTGAATAAGCATGTATGAACAGAAATAATTATTTTGTGACAAAACAAAAGGTTATAACTATTTAAAATAGATAATTATTCAAACAATCATAACTATTTGCACTAGTTAGGCGAACATATCATCTATTAAATCCATTACTTATTAATTTTTAAAATATTAATAAATTTTAATATTAATAAATTAGCATTACTTTATTTCGAATAAGACTATACCAATTGAAACAATTGTTTTATGATAAAACAAATGGTTATAACGATTTGAAATAAATAATTATTCATATTGTTATAACTAATTGAACTAGTTTGGTTAACAGATTTATTTTTTATATCTCTTATTAATTTTTAAAATATTAATAAATTGTTATAACTAATTGAACTAGTTTGGTTAACAGATTTATTTTTTATATCTCTTATTAATTTTTAAAATATTAATAAATTAATATTATTTTATTCCAAACAAACTTATTTGAACAAAAACATTTGTTTTACGACAAAACAAAAAGTTATAACTATTTGAAATAGATAATTACTCATATAGCCTTAACTATTTGCACTAGTTTGGTAAACAAATTTATTTTTTTTAATTTTTGAGTTATTAATTTTCATAATATTATTAGATTAGCATTATTTTTTTCGAATAAGCTTGTATGAACATAAAAAATTATCTTATGACAAAACAAAAGGTTATAATGATTTGAAATATATAAATTTTCAAATAGTTATAACTATTTAAACTAGTTCGATAAACATGTTTAGTTTTTTAAGCCTCCTACTTATTAATTTTTGAAATGTTAATAAATTAGTATTATTTTATCTTGAATAGGTTTGTATGATGAAAAACAATTATTTTTTGACAAACCAAATGTTCATAATGATTTGAAATAGATAATTGTTCAAATGGTCATAATTATTTGAACTGATTCAATAAACTGATTTATTTTTTAAATCTCCAACTTCTCAATTTTTGAAATAGTAATAAAGTAATATTATTTTTATTTTGGATAAGCTTTTATGAACTAAAACAATTGTTTTATTGTAAAAGAAAAGGTCATAATGATTTTAAATAGATAATTGTTCAAATAGTCGTAAATATTTGAATTTGTTCAACAAACAAATTTATTTTTAAAATTTTTTGCTTATTAATTTTCTAAATGTTAATAAAATAGTATTATTTTATTTCGAATAAGCATGTATGAACGAAAACAATTATTTTATGACTAAATAAAAGGTCAGAATGATTTGAAATAGATATATATTCTAATAGTCTTAACTATTTAAAATGGTTTGGCAAACACATTTATTTTCTAAATCTCTTACTTATTAATTTTAGAATATTATTGGTTTAGCAATATTTTACTTCGAATAAGCTTGTATAAACAGAAGCAATTGTTTTATGACAAAACAAATATCATAACAATTTGAGATAGATAATTGTTCAAATAGTCATAACTATTTAAACTAGTATGATAAATAGATTTAGTTTTTAAATCTCTTATTAATTTTTGAGATATTAATAGATGTGGTTGCTGAGGATGTAATTGGTACTCAAGAATGTCAAGTTCTTGCTTCTAAAAGAAATAAGGGGAAACAAAAAATCTAGAAAGTTGATATTCTATTCTATTGACTGCTGTTAATGTTAACTGTGTGTTTTTCTTGTTAATGTTGCAAGAACGCTTTCTATTCGGCCTTCTGTTGGCTAAATGTTTTTTGTGCTAAATGTTCTATCAGAATGCTTTTTGTTGACATTCAACAAATTGCTTTCTTATAAGATTGCCTCTATTATTAGATTGTCTTAGATTAATTCTAGTTGCACATTACAAGTTGAATATATTACACTAAACCACATTTTCACAACCAATAACATAAAGCAACAGAATTCACAGCTAATAACATTGATTCAATTGCCATTGATATAATAAGAGTTTTAACAAACATTTACAGGACCTCATAATAATCCTAACCCACTATCAAGCATATTAGTTAAGTTTCCAGAAGGATTTTTTGGCATGGAAAAGATTACACACGCAAAATGCAAGTATATGAAAGAATGAGATAAGCCAAATGATTTTTCAGTTGCCATCTCTACACCAACAATTTTATTGCTTTCTTTCAATTTCAACCTCAAAAAACTAACATCTCTATTCAAACTCCAACTCTTATACAACAACCACTGGGAAGAAAATAGTTTCAGCAAATAGCATTGGAAGTCACAATGATAAGCACGCTGTTGAAGCTGCCAGCAAAAGCAGGACAAGGTTATGGATTATATACAAACTTAGAAACAGGGAGACAAATCTTAAATATGAGTAATTCTTTACCAAACATATATATTTTTTTTGTTTTATTTCTTGAAGTATTACCTATTACGACTTGATAAATGTTATTCAATAGCCTAGATTGAGAAGTAAGAAAGTGATAGCAGTTGGGACAAGCAGAGGCAGAAGGAAGGTTGCTGAGGATGTAATTGGTACTCAAGAAAGTCAAGTTCCTGTTTCTAAAAGAAATAAAGGGAAACAAAAAATCTGGGAAGTTGATTTCAAGTTGTAATAGGTAATCTGCTTCAAGAAATAAATTAATGATAACATAATAATAAATACATAATAGTAAATCATTGATAATTTAGATGTAAATTATTGATAACTTAATAATAAATCACTAATAATGTAGTTGTAAATCAGTGATAATTTAATAATAAATTAGTTCATCTTTGATAACTTTGTAGTAAATCATCAATAAATTAATAGTAAATTGGTTCTAATTTTATAACAAATCATTAGTAATATAATAGTAAATCATCAACAATTTAGTAATAAATCATTCATAAATTAGTAATAAATCAATGCTAATTTAGTAAAAAATCATTGATAATTTGGTAGTATATCATGAATAGCTTAATAGTAAATCGATGAAAATATAATAATAAATCAATGATAACTTAATTACTAATCATAATAAATTTTATACTTAAAGTTGTCAGGAATTAAATCTTAGTTATTAGCAGAAATAAAGCTAAAAAATTTATCTTGGGAGACAAGGATAAACCTACCATGAATATATTTAATAAAAAAAATTCTGAATTTGAATGAAACAATAATGTTAATATATAAAATGACCGCTACTTTATCCTAAAATTCAATTTGTGCTTTCTTACAGAATCTATTGTTAAATATATGAAAAACTTATCATGAACATATTCGATAAAAAAATTTAGTGAAAAAAATTCTAAATTTGAATGAAACGATAATATTATTATATAAAAAAATTATTTTAGACTAAAATTCAATTCTCGCTTCCTTACAAAATCTATTATTAAATATATAATAACACAAATTTTATAAAATTATTATTAAAAATATATTATAAGGTAACAGAAAGTTAATAGTAATTACACTAAGGTTATTAAAATTTTATTAATGATTACCAAAATTATATCATAAGTTATCAAACTAATATTGAAAGTTAACCAAAATTTTATCAAAAATTTTATCAAAAGTTTTTAAATTTTACTTATATTATACCTAAATCAAAATTAAATTTTTAATATTTATCATTATTATCATAGTGTTAAAATTTTATTTTAAAATTTATTTATTGAAATAAAATTTTAAAAATAAGAATTATACACATGCAATGTACGTGTTAAAAACTAGTGTGCGTGTGTATCTATATATATAAATATATATATACTGTTTGAGTTTTCTAGACAATTAATGACTTATTGAACAAAAATGATTATGTATTGCAGCAATAACTTGAATGAACATTTGTTACGAGTTAGTTCAGGTTTTGCTACAATGAATACAGCCTAGGGATCTATTATTGTCTGTTGCCCCCTGGTGAAAATATTGATATACAAAATTATATGAGGAAAAAAATGAAGCTAAGGAAGAAAAAAGTAAGGCTGCACAATCAAAAAGAACGGTGCAGATCAAATCTTCCTGGTTCGGATTGCTTTCTCCTGTCTCCTTTCATGCGTCAAAAAGCTGCAACAAAGCTCACTTAAAAACTCCCACTTTAGAGAAGAATGACCTAAACTTGTTCTTAATCTTCAATATCTTGAACCCATGCCAGATCTGCACCCAAAGAGTTCAGGAATCTCAATATGTTACATGTTTGTCATTTGAAATAAGAGGGATCTATATTTTGAGGATTTTTCAACTTAAATTCACTTTCTTCCAGGGAGGGGAAGACAGAATTCACAGCTTTGAACAAGGAATTAAAAAGAATAATGCTCAACCAAGTCAAAAGTCTAACACTATAATAGTAAGTTTTCTTATTAATTGGCGGATTAAAAGCAAACAAATAAAATCAAAAAGATTATATGCCATCTCAAAATTCGAATGCTTAAGCTAAAGCCAGGGGATTAGGAGCATCATGCTTCCATGGCTTTTACAACCTTGTTTAACCTGTAAAGTTTTCTGTATTTTTCTTATTAATCCTTCACTTAAATTTCTCAAAACTACGTCAACAGACAAGCAACGTAAGAATAAGTTTTCTTCTTAATAAGAAAATTCAATGAAATTAACAAAATCACAAAGATTCAACAATGTCTTCGACTTCGAGTGTGTTCATGCACATCTGTGTGCATGCATTTCAGTGCAGATAAAGCGAGCGGGGGGAAGGCGTCATGACACCCCCAGCTTTTTCAAATTTGCTGCTTATCCTATCAAGTTTTCTTTAATTTGCTTATTAATCCTTACTCCGGCCTCCATAGCTTTATAAAAAATTTTAATTAGCATTTAAACTCTTCAATCTCTATACTTAAACATGCAGACCATTGAAAGAAACCCCTCACACACCAATATACATTATTATTGATGTCAATCCTCTATTTTTAACATTTACTTCTTTAATTGCTCGCAAAACCATTTCTTTACTTTGTATAGCATTAGACACAATATAATACAATAATCTTTATGCAAATAAATGTTAATTCTTAAGAGTGATCGTCCCCCTAAATCCAAATCAGAGACACCAGCCCTGTTTGTGCATGTGTGCCTGTGCACGAGTGCATGAGTGCATGCGTGTACTTAATAGAAGGGTGTTTGTGGTGCATGCTCATGCTCAGAAGTGTATGAAAAAGACGAGTGATTGAGCAGGAACCTTGAAGTACAGTTTCAACAGCTGCATTCGGAACAAGAAGACCAACAATTCTCTGGCTATCTGTAGTGGTTTCTAGCCGTACAACACGAAGCCGCCTATGACTGAGACGGGCCTGTAAGGATAATATGAGGCTTTAGTTGTTGGAATGCAATTATATATAATGAAAAAAAAAATCGCTCAATTACACATCAAAAAGTTCAGTCTTCCACAATATCATAAATATACGAGGCAAATATTTTAAAGATAAGAAATCGGTTAGTTAGCAAACTAAATCATGAAGAGAAAACAGTAAGGCAAAGGAGCGAGCAGATTAAATCTCAATTCTCAAACAACTCCACAGAAGGCCAGGTAAGAATCAAGATGCATTACCCAATATATATATATATATATATATATATATTTATTTATTTATAAATCCTCAGGCCTTACAATAATTTCTTGAGTACTCTTCCTAAATTACAATTAGTTTTAATAAAATTGCCTTAAATGACTATTATAGCATTTCCTCTCAAATTCCATTGATTGCTAAAATTACAACACCTTTTATGAGCTCAATGTTTCAAACCATGGGCAGCAGATTTTGCAGATAAAAGTATGCATGGTTTGCCCTAGCACAGCATATCAGCCGGGGGGAAATGATTTTTTAGAACAGAGCAAAGAAAGAAAAAGCAAGAATGTAGTTTTGGTAATAACTGAATTCTTGCACCACTGATGAAGTAACAAAATACAAATACTGCATCTACTTGAAAAGATAAACAAATTCATGTTTATTATTCAAAATGTTCATAATCATGATAAATAAAGTATATGGAATAACAAAATAAATGGGGTGAAAGAGAATAATATGAAGAAAAAAATATGCCAATGCTAGTGTTAAGATTGAGTTGGTACTATTTTAGTATGATGGTGTGAAAAAGGTAAATGAATCATGTCATATGGAAAAATAAGGGTTGCAAAACAATGGTATGGATACAAACATTGTGATAAGGCTCAACTGTCATCAACATGATGGACATTATTTGGGCAGAGCTAGTGGGAAAATATTTATGTAGCATTAAAATACACTTTTTAATTGAGTAGAGGATTACAAGCGAGGGGGCTTACGGTTGGATGACATTGGAAAGATGTCAGCTTATACTAAACAAAGGATGACGAAAACTTATAATAAAACTAAGTGAGACAGTCAAAATTCTAAATTTAGATAGACAAGAAGAGCCTGCAAGAGTACAAGGAACGGTTAGGAACACTACACATCAAATGCTCTCCCATTCATAGGAAATTATAAGCAACAAACATATTTGAATACAAAAGCCCATCACCACATGTCCGAATGATTGAGCAACTACCCATGGGCCCTCAAACATTATCATTGACTACCAACGACTTCAACAATAGTTTTGTACATTGCAGCAGTCTGAAACTAGTATAAAAGTAATACTCAACTGCACAACTAAATTACCTTTGCAAGCAATGAAAGTCAGAATGTTATCCCAATAATGCAAATACCATGAAACATAAATTGAGAAGTACAAACATACACATTCAGATATGAATTGGTCAGAATTAAAGTATCTTCACATCATGTCATAACAAAGCATGCAGAAAATTCAGATGTTACAAGTGAACTTGGATTGGAAAAGAAAATGTCTACATTAAAACTTTGGTACTGCAAATTATGCAATGGCCAAGGAATTATTACGAAAGAGTAGACGACATATATGAAGTTACCTGCTTAGAAAGGGCCTTCTCAATCGTGCCCCAAACCGGAAAAATGAGGCCACCCAAAACATTAACTTCCTGGATTCTTCTGCCAACTGTACAGAAATTACCAAGCTTACAATTGGGGCCATGCATACACTGCAAAAAAAGAAACAGAAATCCATGGGAAAATCATTATATCAGCAAAAATGGCTTTAACTAAAAGAATAGGTCTTTCATTAAAGATGGAGATATGATAGATTTTATCAAAAAAGGGAAATAAAAGGATACTATCTTAGGCATTCTAAGAGAAAGGTTCAGAAATTTGGATACAAAATGAGATCATTTAAACATAATCACTCTACCCTTCAAAAGAGACCATATAGAAAGCACGAACATGAACACGCCATAGGGGTACGGGTACGAAGACACAGCAGATTCTATAAATTTAGAACACAGGTAGGACAGATCACAACAATAAAAATACTTTTATAATTTTTTTTACATAAAAATATTTAATATAAATGTAAAATCAATAATTTTCATTCACAAATAATCAATTTCTTCAAAAACTCTCTTTTCATTGAATTTCTTTTACCACGAAAAAGGTTCAAAATTGAAAATGCAATTAATCAGCCCAAAAGTGTAAACTAAGAGGTCAAACGGCCACTCCAAGTAGAGCCCAAATTATCTCAATCCATAATTACAAGCTTGCATTGCATGTGATCTATCACGTGCCAATGCTTACTAAAGTGGTGCTTTTATATCAGGCAAAGAATAAATTTAAAAACTTAAAAGGAGAAAAGTGCAAAGAAGAAGTTAGAAGCAACTCGCAAAAGAGAAAGATGAAACTGAAGTCGTGCCAATGTTTACAAAAGTGGTGCTTTTATATCAGGCAAAGAATAAATTTAAAAACTTAAAAATGAAAAACATGCAAAGAAGAAATTCAAAGCAACTCGCAAAATAGAAAGATGAAACTGAAGTTTTATTGGCTGCGGATGATTTTAAATAGTTTGTACCCATTGCCTTTGAAGAGGAGTCCATGGTTTTTCCTTTCTTCTTTGTATATGTGATCTCGGTTTAACATGGTTTTGGGATCAAAGTATTGATTTTAATGATGGGTTGTCTGGGTTTTTGCTCTGATTGTTGATTCCCTTTTTTTTTTTGGCCAAAATTGTGGATTCCAAATTTAGATGAACAAAAAAAGAAAAAACCCTCCACCCGTGTCTATTCCGTGATGGAGATGTATTCACCTGAGTCCAATTTGTTTTCTTATTTTTGTTGTATCCCTGCATATCAGATTCATATTCTTCCATGTCGGACACAAATCCAACACCGGTATGCAGAGGTAAGTGGCGTGTCAATGCTTTATAGGAGACCATTTAATTACAATGGTGTCATTTTTTTTATTTGAATTAAAATGGTGTTTCAGTCTACCTGTTTAGATGAAACTTCATATTCATCTTCCCATCCACGGCGAGCTTTCTCTAGCAATGAAATTTTTCTGTATTTGTTTTTCAGTTCTGCCAAAGGCATTTCCCTGGAGAAAGTTGAAGTCAAAGTGGGTAATTATACGAATTGTAATACAAAGGTTGATTTTGAGGCTCAGTTACACTTTAACTTTAAGGTAATACCTTACTGACTCCCCAACAGCTGGACGGACTATCTTAAACATTCCAGAAGCAGAACTGAAACAGAATTTAGTGGAAAAACAATAATAGTAACCGAAGTGGGGAAGTTCAATCCACGTACACAACAAAATACAGTTAAAGCAACTGTCTAATGAATAATGATTATACTATTTTAAATACCTGCACTTTGATATATTTAAGAATGAAAATAAATCCCTATGGCTTGGGTAATTAATGATTATAAACACCATATGCTAATAGGAGTGTGTCCTGCAAGAAAAAAAACGAATACCTCTCAAATGCTAGAATGAAATGTCGTCTTCCCAACCATTCCCTTTTAGATTCATAGAATCCATCGCTGGCTGAACCAAGTCCATCCTTCTTCTCCTCAAGCATGGTACTTGCAGACTAACATACACAATTAAATAACATATCTATAAGCATTATACTTGCCATAATAAAACAAACCATTCATGAAACCAAATGCAAGAAAAAAAAAGGTACCTCCCATGTGACCCCACGATCCAAAGTGAAAGTAAACAGTACTGTTGATGCCCCAGTCATTTGATCAACATGGACAATCTGTTCGAAGGCAATGGTTAGTGTAATCTAATTATGTGAAGCAAATCACTACATCTGGCAAGAAATTAACCTTTGGGTTTCCTTGTAATTCAATGATGTTAGCTTTCATATCAACAATTCCAGAATCAAGATTTCCCTCAATTCTTGCATTCTGAATCAGGACATCCAAGATACTGATAAACAATTCGAATAGCCTGCAAGTCAATTGCATGCATTCAGCTTACTAAAATCCAACCTAACTATACGATACCGGATTAAAAGAATGATGTGAACTGCATGTTGCCAAGAATTAAAATTGACACAAATGCTAAAGCCCCTAGGGTTCTCATAGGGTGCTGAAATCAATATTAATATTGTTAGGCCATAATTCCAGCAATTATTGTGGCATCCAATGGTCAAAAGTGAGCTAGAACTTAGGTCAAATATTCGTTCCAATGTGACGTTGGCTTTTCCAGAATTGACCTTTCCAAAAATTTGCTTTGTGCCTTGTTTTGATTTAATGAGTTGGGCTGGTGGGCAGATTCCTCTTCATTGGTTTGGGCCCTCAGTGGGCTTGGATTGAGAACTTGCTCCTGCATTACTACAAGACTGTGTTTTAGTCAACAAGCCATGTACCTGTTCTGAATATCAGGGGGCAGTCCCAGTAGACGATTTAGGAAACGACCAACGTCATGCATGTCTGAATCAACTATTCGGCCAGCAAACTTTCCATTATCCTTCCCATTCCCTATAGCAAATAAATGATAATCAAATGAATAAATATCACATATGATGTCAATAATTCATGGTATATTTTCAAGAGGTCAACAGAAAGAGATAAATGAATAAGAAAAGGTTTGCTCCTTTCAGTTGCAGAAAGATTATTACCAAGACCCGCATCCCTAACAATTCCAACAGACACAAGAGCAGCTTTTGCCTTTGTGATAAAATCCTGAATCGTGTCTGGTTTTTCCGACGAACATCCAGGAGGCACAACAGGCAGATTATCCTGGAAACCACAAGTTCAGTTATTCCCCCTCATTGTTTTTTCTTTGCACGTGTAACACTACTGAAAAAAATAACAAGAACCTGCTCCATGATCCCTCTATACATCACCATCAATGCCTTTTTACCGTAAGAACTATCATAGTTGTAAGCACTCAAAGATGGTCCCGCCCTGGAAAGTATCAGCCACATCATAAAAAAAATCAAGGAGACCATAACGATAAAAATCAATCCGGCAACTCATCTCCTAAAGACCAAAGAGTGAAGCCAGTAGAAATGTTGATATTATAGAATGAATAATGAGCCTCATATCATAAATTTCAGTAGAAAGAAATTAAAAGAAGGGATTGATAAACTATTTTTAAAATCTTCCTACTGAAACTAAAACCCTAGTTAGACTTCAATAAGTTCGTTGATTATGTGAAATGATATTTTGTATACAGAAGTGGGTCAATTTGGTGAGTCAATTTATTCAAAGATCAGTTTTTGACCCATCTAGATTAATAAGTAAGAGGGACTATGGGGAAGCCCAAACAACTGGATATCTATGCCCATGGCGTAAGTTTGTTTGATAAAAAATGACTCCAATGACTCCAAGCACACGTCTGCAAAAACAAAATTGAACTTACCTGCGATCTCCCTGTGTCAAGGCTCCAAGAGATTCTAACCTCTTGGCAACAATTGATGCAAACCGGCGTTCTCCACCAAGATTGGTAAAAAGTAGTCTGCAAAGCAATTAGGACAAGCAAATCCGGTCAAACAATAAATCATAAAAATAATACATGGATAATCTCCATAATTAACTTTGCAACCAACTGCATCATTGCACCAAAATTAGCCTTTTGACTAGTAAAAGTTTGACAGCATTGAATATTTGTATTACTCAAATGCTTGAGAAAAGAAAGAGTACCATCAAAGAATAATCCAACCAATCAATTCAACTCTTAATGATATACAGTAGATATACAAAAATCCCACCCAAATAACCATACTAAATTGCGTAGACTAAACAATACCAACTATAGTCAATGAACTCCTACCCAGCCATATGAAGCTTAGGTAAACCACCATTTTCACAACATATTTGAGGCCATACATCTACATAACCTGAGATTCAAATTCTAATTTCAAACATCTTTGCCCCAAAGTCCCCATTTTTAAATCATTAACACACATCATGCACACCCTTATACAAATACATTTAAACATTCTAAACCATCATTAATCATCTTCCTAAGTATGACCCTTAAATTAATCCATGGCCATCCATATTTACATATCTACATTCCTGTCATGTTTATAAAGCGAATTTGGTGACATCATTTCAAGTACCTCGATTTAATGATGTGATTCTAGATTGAACAGAAAAGCCATAAAAAAAAAAAGATAACAAAGAAGGGAAGGGTAAATTTAGATTTACATATTAAGAGGGGATGAAAGAATTGACCTACAATGTGAAAGCCAAAACAAATAAGTTGAAACTATTTTAGGCTACTTTTCACATTCCACAGGAAAATCATTTTTATTAAAGGGAAAATTCCTAGCCCACCTATACTCAGGTGCAGAAGCTTGATTGGAGCGATGAGTTCTTCCAAACTGTTGAATTGCTCGGTCAGCACTCCAAGGAAGTTCTAACGTTAAATGAACCCTCCTTTTCTGCAGGAAGATGTCAATTAGCAGCACAAAATGGGTAAAGGACAATAGACCATATTGTACATAACATTTCTTAAAAGGAATCTCTAGTTTACAAATCAACTGCATTATAGTATAAAAACAAGTGAGAAATTATTTTGTAAGCCAGACCTGATTCAGTGCTCTTCTATCTGCCTGTAAAGATACACCAGCTGACCCAGCTTCAGATATGATAGCAACCAACTTCTTACCATCCATAAAGAGCTGCTTCTCATGCATATTGACCATTTCCATTGTCACTTCCTTTCTAAAAGTATTTGGGGCAAATGGCAACTTAGATAATCTTCAGTATAAGGTGAACTATAGCTGAGATGTAAACAAATACTCAACTCACGTGTTTCGTGACTGGTAAGTCACACCTTTTCCACCAGAAGCCCTTACAAGCATGCCTCGCCTCCCTGTCATTTCTGCAACGTTATCAGGACCTCCAAGCTGCAAAATCATTGAATGCATATTAGCAAGGACAATACTATCAGGAGAAAGCGTAGACACAATAGTTTTATTTATAACAAATTATCATCATTGAACAGATATGATAGCACAAAAGCACACAACTAGAAGAAACAGCATGCAAAAGCAACAAATGAGACCAAAACTCCTCTCCTGCTCCCTTATTTACTTCTTTTTTCTTCTTTCAAGTGCGAATGATTTGCCTAAGGCTAAACCTTGAATAAAAGGATCTTCCCTCCCTCCTTATCTATTATTTGGCACAAATGAATTTAGTTAATGACACAGTTTGTTTCAAAACACTAAGAAGAATAAAGTCAGGTGGACCAATTTATTCATTTGACCTTCTCATTTTCACCTTAAGTTGAATTTTTATTAAAGAAATAAGTCAAATGAGTAGAAATCAAAAAATGCAACAGAACATAAAAAGCGATGCATCGACCCGGTGTCACATGTCAGTAGAAATTAATATGATATATTATAATTAACCAATTACGGTGCACTCTTCCGGTTTTCCTCTCAACAAGATGTTTTAATCAAAACCCCAACTGACAAATCATACAAATTCAAATGAATGACCAATATATCAACCGCCTGGAAAGGAGGAAACAAAAAAAAGCACACTAATCTCTAACAAATAAAAAGGTTGGCAATAAGACTCCCAAATCCATTCCATTGAAGGGACCAAAAACAAATAAAGCTTCAGAAATATGGCAACTCTTAGAACCTTTTGACCATATCTTCATCAGCTTTAAGTCAACTTTGGAAGGTAACAACAAATGCTAATGTACGACAATACTGTAAATTGCAATGCAAAGTGGTTAAAACTGATTGTCCATGATAACTACAATATTACATACCTTCAAAATAATAATGAAATAAACAGCATTCATTCACTAAGTTCTTGGGAAGGAAAGACAAGTATACAATTTCAATAGCTAGCATTACCCAGAACATGTTTGACCTGCATGGTAGACTACATGAACCCTAAATAATTTCTAGATAAATTGATAGGGCACACAAGGACCACCAAGCAGATGTAAATTTCTTGACACCAGATTAATCAAAAAAGTCACCATCCTAAAACTGTTAGAAGATCTTTGAATCATTTCAGGACATTCCCTAATACAAGGAGTCCACCTCGAACTTGTGATTCACTCTCAACTCTACTCTATTGGGGCCTATTCAAACCATACAAAGTTGCACCACTTATACGGCTAATGTTGCTTGACTTTTGAGCAAAATGCCTCTCCGGTAATATATGAAAAGCAATTTAAAAAGTTAGAGAATGCACTTTAGTGAAAGTCCCTCATCAAATTAACCGTCCTCCAAGAACTAAAACACATCATCAAAGTTTATGAGCATCTAATGCTCACAACAATTTAGGTAACACCAGTAAAGGCTGACTCAGGTTAAAAATTGTTTCACAAAAGACTCCAGAACATAAATCACTGACTGGTTAGGCGAAACAGGACATTTCATCACAAAGAGAAAGTACAGGTGGAAAATAAGGCTAACATAGAAGAGGAAGGGAGGTTATGGCATTGTTCTTGAACTTTCATCTCATGTAATAAATGACTAGCAATGTAACTTAGAATTCTCAAAGGCAACAGACCACCTGAATAAAATACAAATTATTAGCATATCTTAAACACTGTTGAAGACTTTGGCGAAGAGAACAATAATTTAACCAACCTGGTCGATAATGTCATCCAAGGGATTGTTCGGAAGATCCAAAGAGCGAATTATATCCAAAATTTTTGACTTACGCTGCAAAGCTTGTTCATACCTGAGCTAAAGTTTACATGATATTTGTTAATTCATCTCTAAATAAATTCCAAACAACACAAATAGCCCTCCTCCCCACTATTGTGAAAATATCACAATGAGAATAAAAGGAAAAGCATTTAAGAAGAAATAAGCAACATCCAAAATACAGAAACCTCTTTAAAAGTTCTTCTATATAGGCACGCCTTGCTTGCATGTATTCATCTGTTTTCTCCTTGCACGAATAACATGACCACTTCTCAGGGACTAAATCTGTAATAGGTGGAACTAAACAAGCAGGATGTACGAGTTTCCCACAACAGGAACACTGAAGCAATTTCTTCCTCTCCTGGATTAATGAAAACATAATAGATATGAAAAAGTGTGGATAGTCAAAGCATGATCAAGTCAAGAGGAATTACCTCTTCACTATTGCATATCTCACAGATCTGAAACTCATCATCAGATTCAGTAGACTCGTGCCCAGAATCAGCTGCATTGGTGAAGAAAAGGCTTAGCTATCTAAAACCTACATTAGCAGGTTTTTCATAGCATTGAAGTACAAAATGTGAACATAGTGTGGACAAATTCAACCAAGGCAACCAAAAAATAGATGAATAGGGTCCCAAATAACGAGAGATATGTAAAAAGAAGGCCCGATTACGCCCATTCCTAATCCTAAATTAAATGGAACATAACACAGAAACAATTTCAGATATAGGAACCATACAAGAAAAGAAATTAAAATTATAAATCACATTACAAATTCAAAAAAGTGTAATCAAATTATGCTCTAAAGAACATTTTTGTATTGTGAGCGCAACTTCAAATGAAATTGAAAGCAATTATTTAAAAAGAGATACAGATCTAAGTTAGAAGCAAATATATCATAAAAGAACGTAAATATCTATTGCTAAATCCTCTTCCCTTGTTCTTTTCTTTTCTCCTTTGGACCAGTTGAAGTGTTAGGTGTTTACAATATAAGGTCCCCAAATTGCAGATTCATAACCATTCAGTTTGTTCCAGTTTTGAAAAACTTACTATCAGATTCTTCATCACTTTCACCATCACTAGCAGGTTTCCATTTTGCAACTTTCCGAACTCTTCCTTTTAGTGAAACACCAGGTGTTGCAGAGTGCCTCTTTCGTTGAAGTTCCTTAACACTTTCATCTCCTAATAGAAGATTAGCAAATAATCAATGATTCAATCAGCAATCAGTGTGACACAAGCCAACCTAGAAACAAAGACACATCACACCTTGGAGAGGTTCAGGTTTTTCAGGTAATGGATAGTTTTCTTCCACAAATTTCAGCAACAATTCTCGGGGTCCCGAAACAAAATCATCAAGTTCAAGACCCTATTTCAGACAAAGAAATAAACAATAAAAGAGTGCATAACAGAAGCAAAAACACAAAAAAGAAAAACAAAACAGAAAGAAATATAGTATTTGATAGAAATTAATTTTACATAATACATACATATTTTGTCACAGCTTCCTCAGTTCGTGCCTCCCCAGTACTCTGAAGGCCAATAACCACACACTTATCTTCACTTAGTGCTTGCTTAGCAAGCCTCACCGTAGCAGGCACCTTAGCTGACATACACATGTGTCTAAAGAAACGCTACAACGGAAATGGGGGAACAATTGCAACAATACAAATGGATAAATAAATATGACAACTTATAAATCACAACCGAAAACACTTAGCATGCCAGGCACAAAAAGTTCAGAAAATTCATATACCTGATGGCTTGACCAGTACATTCTCCACAACTGACTAGGATTAGGCTTCTCATTACTATGAAAAGCACTTGCTGACAACAGCAATTCCACGCGCAGCTCTGCCCAAAGCTCTGCTGCTTTTTTATACATTGCCTAAGAAAAAAAAATATGATCAGAAACTAATAAGATCATCATTCATTTTTTACCTAGCTCAAAAAACAGCAAGTATAAAACATTTAGAACAACATATGAAATGAGAACTAGTAGTTCTGATCTCCCTCATAAACACCATTAGTCTTTTACCATCAGTGATGATGATGTGGCATTTATGTGAATCTTTTTAAAGAAAAAAATTATGACATGGGATGTTCAAAAATACATTAAGCAAGTTGAATCCAGTTCAATAATCTTTAAAAAAAAATGACAAGATACAACACTCAAAATAGGAAAAAAAATTAAAGGAGATCATACTTAGACTCATATTTAGATTAAACATCCAGAAAATAAATAGAATAATTACTAATAGGTACCTAAAGATTAAAATAGATAAACAAACCAACAAGACAGAAAGTAATTGCAGTGAGTATAAAAGAAATTCAAAGCACTTAAATAATTCTATATCTGAAGAAACCACAAAACAAAATCCATTAAACCCATGAACTGAATCTATGAATGATTAGCAACAACCCAAGATTAAGCCAAGAAACATTGAAAGAGGTTTAAAAAAACAAATTGAAGATGATTACGGTCAATATCAGAAGCTTGCTCACGACACTCAATCCTCTTGTGTGGCATCATGGGTAAGTCGGGGTGAGGTTTATCTTCAAAGGGTTTGGAGAGATGATTGAGAATAGGGGAAAGAGAGATTTTCGAGAAAGAGCAAGAAGAGAATCTGGTTTAAAGAAAGTTCGACAACTGAAAAGGTGTCAGAAAATTTTTTTTTCTTTTGATCTTTTACTCATTTTTAACTTGGAAGGAAAATATCAAAAAGCTGCTCTTTATGCACACTCTGCGAAAATCTAATGTACCTGTGACCATCTTGCAAAAATGAAGTTTAACAGATTTGGAAATCTTTTAGCATGGATCTAACTGGTCTCCTTGCTGGTCCCTTGTATTATTTCTTTTGGTTTTAATCTCTATTTGTCATTTCATGTCTCTTGTTTTTGTCAACCTCTTTGCTGCTTTCTTTGGATTAGTAAAATAAATTCTGTTAAATAAATTGTTCATTACTTGTTTTAAGAAAATTGATGATGCAACTAGTTACCTGTGGCCGTATTAGATGGATGTAATGCTCCCATTCATGCATTTGGCCACTTTGGTCATAAGAACTCCATGTCACATTTTAAGTGATTATAAAACATCCACATAAGAACTCTATATTCAGTATTACAATTGAAGAATAACACTCCTATTTTTTGTCCTTGATTGCACAAAACTCAAAAGCATAACTCAATCCGAGCAAATCATAGAGTAGAGACTAATCGCACATTATAGCTTAGTACAGAGGCTGCCAGCAGATTTCAATGTAATATACACTATAGTCATATATAATTAAATTCAATGGAGTTAACTACAGATTTCAATGTAATATACACTGTAGTCATATATAACTGAATTCAATTGTAATATACACTATAGTCATATATAACTGAATTCAATTAACTATCTCTGGCATATGATGGCCAAAAAAAAAATCCCTGGCATAATATTTTTGGAACAAGGTGGTAGAATTCAATAAACAATTTCATTAGCAAGCAAATGAAAGTAAACTTGCATACCTCCATTTCAGCTTCTAATGGTGCTTCAATAACCTCAAACTCTACTCCCTTATAACTCAGGGTACGACATACGTACATTCCCCTAAATTTTGGAAGAAGATTGTGTATCAAACAAAGAATATATCCAATAACTCTATTTTACAGAGACATTCTAACTACTTTTACCTTGCTTTCATGTCCATTGCAACAAGTTCCAATGCCCCAACGCCTCCTTTCTCTAAAGCAACTGTGAAAATATTCATTTTGTAAAAAGATTCAGCTAAAATTCTAACTATTGGAAAGAATTTAACAAGTGGCACAGCCAAAAGAGACTAGATCTCAATCTGACACATATCCATGGGACATATAATCAACTGAGGTTCGACAAAACTAGAGATTTACAAGGATTAAGGAATACAACTGTGATTATTGATTTGTGATTCAGTTGCAGCCTATTATCAAGCAATGCCAAAAACTTATTTCTAAATGTAAGTATGCTACTAGTTTCGTAGTATAACCTTCTATGTAGGTAACAAGGAGCAATAATGCCTGTAAATTGCAAAAGGGAAATTGCTATTTCCTTTTCTTCTTTCATTTCTTTTACATGATAAATAGATATTAAAAAAATAAAAAAATAAATAACTAGATAATTAATTAGTTGACATAAACTATTTCCGAAAAAGGCACCTATAGCAAACTTTGCTCAAATAATGCTCACAAAACAGAGATAAAATACATGGTCATCAATGCAATTATTCAAAAAGTTGAGAAATAAGGACAAAAACTAAAAATTTAAATGTCACAGAACTAAAAAATAGGGAAAAAAAAGGTGTGACACTACATATTCAAAATAATACCCAAAAACCCAGTAGAGAAAAAAGGAAGGCGAGAGAGATTGGAAAATAAACATCACAAACCGAGAAAAGGACAAAAAATAAATAAATAGTGAGGGTTGACTAGGGAAATTTGATCAAAAAGTTTTGTTGCATTATGCTGGTACAATAGTAGTAAAGCGATTACTATTCAACAAAAAGTTTTTCCTTATTGTCTAATTGCAATGTTTTATATGGTATTTATTTAAGTGATTTTCTAGTGCTTAAAACTCGGGGGTTAGCAATGTTACACAGCCTCTTGACTTTATCCTAATGCACCTGTGCCAAACACTTCTTGAGCACTTCACTATCATACAGCAGTGACATTTTGATCAACAAAATTAAGGATGAATTCCAGAAACCTCCCTCTCAAGACCCTAAAAGACACTAAACCACATGTTTCAAAATAGTCGCTTTCCCCTCTTGACTTAGTCAACAATATGCATACTTTGGCCCCAAAAAAACATATGCCCTAAAATACCAGCTTCTCCCCCAACGCATTAACGGAAAAACCAGAGGAGTTGTTTAATGTTAAGAATGAAAATAACTAACAAGAATTTAGAAAGGTCTAAAAGGATCAGGTTAATCTAAATATGTTCATATTATTCATTCAAATTCTCAAATAGGATTTACTAGCATTTTTTTTTTTTGGCCAAGTGATTACTTGTAATTAAGAAACAAAAGCTTACAAAATAAGGGGGAAAGCCCTAAAATCTTTTACCGTATATTTTACACTTTTTTATCTGTCAGTCACACTTTTGCTCTCCTGCTATTAAAATTTAATCTTTTGTCCCTTTCTTTAGAACTTTTTCTGGGGAAACATAAACAGAGAAAAAATATATAGAAATTCCAAAATAATGAACTCAAGTGAACAACAAGTTAAAGTCTGATTAACAGAAAAAAAAAATCTAAAACCTTAATTGAAAGACAAAATTAGGGAAAATGAGAGATCTTCCCATAGATTTAGCACTTGTTAGAATCCCAAAAGGAAAGTAGGAAAAAAAAAAAAAAGGAACCTACTGCATACTAAAAGAATGAAAAGAGAGAAACGGGGGGATTTGAAAAAAAATTAAATAAATAGCCAAATAAAAAATGACAAATTCATTCATAAGAATAAAACTTCAAATGGTGCAAGTATGATTTTTCAAAGTCACATTTTCAAGTAACAAATGAAGCTCAAAAAAAAAAAAAAAAAGGTAAAAGATTTGATGAATAAAAACCCAAAGCTTCAGAACTCTTTATCTCCAAACGTATCTTCCTTAATTAACAGATCAAACTCTGCAAAGTAGTATAGAAACAAAGATGATGCAAGATCATCAACAACTCAAGCATATAACAAGCCGTGGGAGCAAAAATCTACACATGAATCAACTATTAGAGATGGAGACAGAGACAGAGGCTGTTGCTTGTGAAAGACTTAGATAAAGACGAAAAAAAAAAAAAAAAGAAAGATGGGCCATGTCAATCACAAAGTTTTTCATCTTGCTGAGATGTTTGTGAGTATATGGTTGACTAAAAAGTCTAAGGGTCGAAGGGCGGGAGGATGTGACATCAAAGGGAAGTGTGTTTTACCTGACAGTGGGGTTTTTTGGATTCACCCCCAAATTAATGTAAAAACTAATAAAAAACATGGCAGACCTCATCCAGCATCCTGTTCCAAGTGCATGTTACATAGATGACAGGAAAGCCATTCTTGACAAATATCAAGACTCAGTTTGAAATTTTATTATATTAAAAGGAAAAAAGAAAAGCAAAAAGAAATTCTAGCAAGGATAAAATTTATAAACTATAAAATTGATATTGAATTTCAATAAGATATGCACTAGAAAAGAATTTCAATGTAGCATAAGAAACAATTTTAAAAAAATAATAATAATAACAATAAACTTAAATTAAAAACTTTTGGCAATATTAATATATTTAGTTTTATGGTATTAAAGAAAGAAACAGAGATATTAGCAGCAAATACAGAAACCTGGTTTTCTAAAGCAGCTAAACACATTTTCAACAAATTTCTAGGGACTTTAAAAGCAAAACAGGGATGAAGGAGCATAGATAGAAAAGAATAACTTTTTAGAAAAGAAAACCTCCAATAAAAGTTAGGATTTGAAGGCCACCATGCATAGAAAATTCTAAGAGCCCATAATACAGCAACCAATATAAGTCCCTTTTTCGTTGCAGCACAATCCCTTAAATGGTAGATGAATCATCATACTTCAACACACTGATAATAATGCAAAGCTATATGCAAGGTCCCAACAAGAACCATAGTCGTTTCATATGCCAAGCAACAATCAATATTACTCGAATCAAATTTCCCAATCGATCTGCTACACTCAGCAATCAATTATCAATTATTAAACACAAACTAAAATCAAATCAGAAAAAAAAAAAAAAAAAGAGAGAGAGAACAGGGCTAATTGATTCAAATATCATGAATCAGTTTACCAAGTTCATAGGCACAATAACACAGACACCATCAGGCATTTGAATAGCTCATATGAAGTCCATAACTTCTCTTGCTAAACATAGACAAGAATAGGACTTGCAACATTAAAAAGGTAAACCATCATGTTGCTTGGCATTGAATAATTACATTGACAGGAGTCAAGTGGAGTTTCCATAACGAAAAGTATTTGATATGCCAAAGTTCAATTCCTTTAATATTTGACATACCGTCAAGGCTTATAATCTACAGATTCACTTAAACTGTAAAGAATATAATGTAAGACATAGTTAGGTTTTTAAATAATTTGAAAACTATAGATAAAATATTAAAAAAAAAAAGAATAAGAGATGAATCATTGCCCAATCAACAGATATCCTAAATTTAATGTGCAAGCTAGACCTTCCAAGGCATCATTAAACTTTCTTCCTCACCATAACCTTAATTTTCTTCCATTTTTTTCTCTCTCTTTCAGGACACACCATAGCCTTAATTAACTAAACTAATTTCTGGGTTGCAGTACAAATATGACTGGAAGAAGAAAAGGTATCAGAAAAATGAAAGAGCGGAAAAAAGCTGTCATCAGACGGGATAAAGATTAAACCTAAAAAACTCTGGAAATCAAGGAAACATGTTCCAGCTCCCCAAAGACCAAGCCTGACCATATAACCCATATTGCGAGGTTCAGATGCACCAGTTGCAGAGCAATAAATCACCCTTGCTTCAGGAAGTCGAGCCTGTAATTTTAGAAAATGGAAGCTAACAGTTAAGGGATTTCCAGGTAAACAATCTTCCATTATTATATGCTCATGTATAAGCGTATGGTCCTGCATGAGGGAACATGAACACTTTTGCCAAATATATAAGTGAGACAAATAAAACAAAAAAGAAGGGGAGAGAATTAGGGGAATCTAATGTTTAGGAAATCATATTGGTTAGAAAGGATATTATTAAGATTTCTTGATGTCCAATTACAGACTCAGATGTTAAATATTTTTGGCGCTAGAGATATCCTACATCACAGGATTTCAAAAGCTTTAGCTAATATGGAACTTCTGCACATCACAATCATATTCTAATGAAATGCACAATGTCCTCTATAGATGTTCGTTTCTCAAAATAATCGTCCAAATATTAAACTAATTGCTCTTAGAAATTTATGACAGTTGAGCATCCAGAGCAAAACCAGTTGGCAATATGTAAAGAACCTCAACTTGAAAATAGCGATCAGGCCCCTTTATGTGCCAACAACATATGAACAACTAAAACAAACAGGCCTACCATGTTTCAATGATTATAAACTAAACTTCAGTACCATGTTAACCGAAATCAATTCGTAATTATGCAGACTAGAGACTTAATCTAAGTATAAGTTCGCAAATAACTCTTAACTTAATCTACATGAGATAACAACACTAAACACCAACCATCACTTTTCGATTCCATCCCTACCGTTATTTTATATATCATCTATATCTATGTTTAAAATAGTAGAATTGCATTCTGAACATTTGTTTAATCCTACTTAATCTAAAAATCCAAAATTTTGTTATATAGTTAGCATAAGTTTGAATATGTCTAGAAGGTTATCCATTAGTAGTATTAAGCCAATATGCCAAATGGATCCTCTGTGTAAACCTACTATCACCAATTAATTGGACTTGCCACCAATAGTGTCAGATTTGCACTTTATAACATTTGCTTCCAATTAACATAGGGCGTAAAACTTCTCTAGTAGTTGTTTTACAGGGATTTCAATAACCAACGATGGTCACCAAGCTTTACTTTACTCTTTTACTCTAAACTCTCCAAACATACGAGGATAACAAAGAAAAGAAAGCATCAGAGGATGGAAACATGCTAGATGAGGGATTAAGTTATCTAGGACTTTATTTTATATTTTATGAGTTTGATTATTGTAATATTTGCATATATTTAGGCTATTTTAGATTATTTACATTATTTTTTATTCATTAATATTTTACTTTTTTCTAGGTATTAAGGTTTTAGGGTTATATTTGGTAATTTGGGCTTTATTAGGGTTTTGGATTTAATTATAAATAATTACGTTATATTAGTTCGATTAGCTTTTGGATGATGAACATTTGAGATTTTGAGATCGTATTGTGATTTTTTCCCTTTATTGATTTTTTCTGGTTTTCTCCCTCACTCTCCTCCTCTATTGCTCCCTAATTGCTTCAATCTGTCTATGATTTTCCCTCTAATTTTCTAATTTCTATGTTATCTCTTTTCCCTTCTTGTTCTACATTTTGGTATCACAGCTCAGAAGACGCTATCAGCCTAACCTTTCTCTTATAAGAAGAGTCCGGTCAACTTTGTTTAGAGAAAAACAATTTCAATTTTCAGTTCTGTTGGAAAAAGAAATGAAATTCTGATACTTGTTTTCAGTTCATTCCAAGTGTGTTCACGAATGTGACGCAAGCTACCATATTGAACATATTTGTGCCACACTAGAAGTTTATATTTGACAGTGGATATTCATGGATATTAAAGGATACTTCTGCTTCTATTATTCAATAATCAAGGTCGAGTGGAGGATGGAAATATGCTAGTTGAGGGATTATGACATAGGAGTGTCAACACATCTTACAACTTGGGCTGAGACTAACGAAGACTTATCCAAAAATAAGATGGGCCTATTCTTGGTCTAAATCCACTAAACAAATGCAAAAATAAGATGGGTTGGAACAGGAAGATTGTGTTCACACTAGCTGAAAAAAAAAATATGAATATGGATGGGATTGTAGTCAAAATTCATTATCATATAATTTGCAGGAGTAAACGGGCAGATAATTGCGTTCACATTACAAATTATTGTGTTTGCATGCAAATCCCATGATTTTAGGCACGATTCTAGCAATTCAATCTGTGAAGTTCTCATGCTTGGAGGGATGTTCCTAGCCTATTTATTTTCTGTTATTCTTTGGTAGAAGGCATAATATTGTTTTCTTTATCCTTAAGCAATCTTTTAGATTGTTCTTCAAGTTCTATATCTCTTAGGTGGATTTCCTAGAATGGTAAACTTTTATTGTTCTGTATCTTTGATTAGAATTCTTAGGGTGGTGTTTCTGTATCCCTTAGTGTCTAGTCTTGGTAGTGAACTTCTATCCCTCTTAATCCAATAATCATATTCTACAATTATTCAAATTCTTGTAAGTTGTCTTCTTTATCAGTTTTTCTGTTTGTTATTAATCTCCAGCATCTCAACCATCAATTCCCGGCATCAGATTAAGTTACCAAGGACTTTATTTTATATTTTACGGGTTCAATTGCAATCATTCAATATAGTTAGGCTATTTTCGATCACTTGAGATTATTTTATATTACTTAGTATTCTACTTCTTCTCCAAGTATTAGAGGTTTTAGGTTATATTTAGAACTTTGAGTGTTATTAGGGTTTTGGGTTTAGTTATAGATACTTATTTTAGTTTCAATTAACTTTTGGATGATAAATATTTGAGATTTGAGATGCTCAGTATTGTCATTTTCTCCCTCTATCGATTCTTTCTGGTTCTCCACTGTTTCTTCTGCTTCTCCCCGAATTTCGTCTATTTCTCCCTAATTGCTTTCGTCTATCTCCGATTTTCCCTCTAAATTTTTATTTCTATCTCTTTCTTCTTGTTCTACATCAGAAATGCTCCTCCAGGTTCACATAAATTTTGGTAACAAGTGAAAGAACCATGATAAAAATCTATAATCTACAACTAACAAAGGGAGAGAAAGAATCCCCCCCCCCCAACAAAAAAACACTTAAGTGAAAGGACAAACCTGAATTTCTAGAACTGCTTCACCTGTGCGCGTAGGCTGACTTCCAGCTTCAGGCACTAAGTTTTTGGCTTTGTGACACTACAATGAAGCCATTGACCCTTAGCAATAAAAATAGAAAAATATATCGAAACCACAGAACACTATCTCATCATGTGATCAACAAAAGAAAAATTAAAACGGAAACTACAGAAGCAACAAGAGAGATTTCAGAACAGTTGCAAAAGAAATAAAGTGTACCTCATCAAAAATGACAAGTCCATCAAATCCTGATCCACACCATTGCACAAGCTGCTGCAGACGAGAACGACCTTTCTCAGAAGACGCAATGAGACTACTATATGTCAAAAATACTACTCCCTGCCTGATCCCAACAGACTTTGAATCAAGCTTTGAATAAGGTAACTTGTTCAGAGCATGAACTGCATAAAGAAACAAAAATTTAAATATTCTCTCATAAAATAAGGCAAATCCAACCAATATAACCACAAAGCTAACATTTTTCTTTTTTTCCTCAACAATCAAATTTCCAAATACAGCATTGACTTAAGTAGATATTGCTGAATATGATCGTGTTTGCCCACTACTGTTGCTCTTTCATGATATAAGCATGCCATGCCCTCTCCAAATGATGAATGCACTAATAAGCTCAACAAATGCCACCCTAAATTACAAACTTCCTAATGAAATTTAACTGAATGGACTTCACACCAGTTAGCAGACATCCAGAAGAAGGAATGCTCATAAATTGATGCTTGACGAAAAGACGATAAATAGCTTTATAAGGGTGAAAAAAAAGAATAGCCCTTTGAGACTACAATAATCTCATATACATACGCTGAAATGTTCAGAGAGAGTTGAGCAAAGTCCACCACTAAGTTAAGGGTTAAATCTCATAACTTACCATATACATCCATAGCATTGATCTTCAATAGGAATAGCAATAATGACTTTTAAGTAGGAAACATTTAATGATAAAAAGATAATTTTAGTTCAAATGAGTTCCGTATGGTAATTTTAGCTGTACACATGTTTCTTGATCTTCCCACTTGATACACCCATAACATTAAAATAACTTCACCATTGTAAGTGGTGCTTTTGTAAAATATTTACTCTTTACTATTCATTTGCTAAGATCATGATTACCCCCCATTTTACATAATTTTAAATATCAAATTGATAAAAAAAGAGGTTATTAGAAAAAAATAAAAAATGATATTTTACTGGAAGCAAGCATATACCGGCTGCCACACAAACGTAATAAAATAGCTAAACTGCAAAAAAAACCAAACAAAACAAAATTAAGTAAAATTTCCAAATTCCAAAGGAAGCAAAAATATGGATAATTGTTAAGAAGCATTTACATCTGTTCAACACATTCATAAAATCCCTTCATTCCATATTTATGGAATAAGTGATAGTACAACAATTTAATGAGCAGTCAAACTTTTTAAAAGATATATTCAAGAAAATAGCAACTCTCACATGAATTAGTTTCTACTATATCTAAATTATAAGTACCTTCAATGCATGCTGCACCAACATCATCCAAGTCTCTTCTTGCATCAAACTTCAAGTCCGAACCAACGGAAATCCATCTGTATAAGATCATCATAGTCAAGACAAGAAAGAAATACGTTATAGAACATGAATTAAATTACAATATATCCAGGCAAGCAGTAACAACTATTGTGGCAGCTCTGCATGCCTACATATCTTGCAACCTAAACCTTACAGTGCTTTCCTCCTCGCATGGTGCCAATTCTCCCATATTAACCCCGCAATGGTTCGCCCTTTACCAACACCAGCTCCATCTCCAATAAAGAATCCTGCCCTAGCACCACTTGGCAGGTGCTGGAGGTGTCTCTGTCAAGGACACCAACAATATTTTACAACTGAAGAAAAAAATTTACAATTGTTAACCATATTTCTGTCATAAAAGAAACCTGACAAGCATAGACCAATGTCTCAATCTGCAGGCATGACAAGGCCATTGAACTTTCCATTTCATCCTTGATTCTTAGATCATAAGTGGGCTCAGGGGGCTGCACCGCAGATAAGGAAGATGTCTCCACAATAGGATCTGGATGAGGAGGGCCAATAGATAGTTTTGGAGGTCGCTGCCACATCAAAGTCATATGAGTGAGTAATTCCAAAAGCTTCAAATGGAAAGTCAAGAAAAGAACTCTAAGAAAATGGAAAGAACGTAAAACAAAACTTGTGAAATGTTGTCTTCTAAAATTATACTCACATAGTCTGTAAAAGTTTCTCCCACTGGTCCACCTTCATCTTCTTCTCGCTCCACTTCAATGGCTACCTGACAAGTTTTAAAATTATATGGAAAATAGATGCACAGGAATAAGAACAGAAAAAATATTGTCATAAGTGCAACACATACTGAAAGCAGAATCACTAGCAGGGGAAAGCAGTATTGTTTCCTTTTAGGCTGAATAAATGGGATGGAAAAGGAAGTTGGAAATATCCATATCCACAAGCTAAAGGAGACGTTTGGGCATGGGTGCACCAATCCCACAATGGAGACCAACTAAAAGCTGGTATCTTGGAACTAATAAAGCACATAGGAATCCACTATGAAATTCAATTCTTTCAACATTGTTCCCTTCTCTAATTTTTCCTAAAACATTAAAAGTTTTATAGTTTCCTTTTATCTTTCATGAAGGAGCTATCTTCCGAGGTTACACACTTCCTACAATATGATTTTGTCATACTATAAGTAAATAACCTCAATATGCTTAAAGGAGGGCAATGATGTTGCACTTGCAGTTTCATGGAAGTCAACAAATACAAGAGGAACAACGGCATCCCATCTTATCTTCAGTGACTAAAAGACACCCCTACTTATCCATGGTAAGAGAAGAATGTCAATACCATTATTTCTAAAAGGTATTTGGTTGACATGAGACAGCTCATGCTTATGAATTCACATCAATGCAAAGATTAAAACCTAACAAAACTATGCAAGACAATTTGCTCAAAACCTGTCACCTGTATATCAAAAGTGAATTTATGGTCTTTATATATCAGGCAACGAATGTAACTTGTCACTGAGGTGCCTAAGAATAGAGGACAATATATTCCTAATTGAAAACATTTCTGAAACTATAATTCAGCCAATGAAATGACTCACAAACAAGGGGTTGTTTTATGTGAACTTCAATAACTTGATCATGTTTTCACATGACTAATTATAATTAACATTACTTTTGTAGAAGTAGCAAGATAATAATTATAATTCAGAGCTCACAAGCATAGAATAGCCTGCAACTTCCACTAAAACACAGTAAAAGTTAGCTTCGGACCAAAAAAAAAAAAGCCGCAGAATCAATTCAAACAACTAAATTACACTAACAAACACCATTAATACAGTCAAAGTTCACTAAGGCGCAGATTGGCTGTTGCTTTGATTTTGCTTCCTAAAAAATTGCTAAAATGCACAAGGAAATGGTAAAAAGCAATATCATAAACTAATTAAAAAAAGGAACAAATGACCAACTCTAAAATAATTGTTCTAAACAAAAGTACGGTCATAGAGTTCAAAATACAAAATACAATCTATTCTTTAAATATTCAAAGTATCATTGATTTTGCATTGAAAAGCACTTTATGATTTCTACTTCCACAAGTAAAAATCAAGTAGCATAAGTAGCAATCAAATTCAACCAAGCTTTAAAGCTTCAATAACCAACAATGAACAATGAAATTAAAACATAATTAAAAAACCTCGTTGACTTCCTCTGGAGGAAGAGGTGGACGGGGCTGCGGATGCGGAAAGAGTTGTTTCATCTTGTTCAAATCAACAGCCAAATCGACCCCACACTGAGGGCAACAAAACCTGGCCAGCCCGTGAGGCACGTTGAGGATAGCCTTGCAATTGGCGCAGGGGAGTTGGATCTTGGTCGGATCGATTCCATGTGCCGGCACCGACTGGTTAGGCGGTGGATTGTTAATTCTAGCCCTTATCATGAGCTCCGGCGGCAGCATTTGTGGCAGCTGGCAAGTGGGACAAACGAATTCAGTGACGCCAGGGCCCACAGTGAGGATCATTCGACATCCGGCGCAGCGCACTTGAACACCAGGTGAGGCGGGTCCAGCGGCAGGGCCAGGGGGTTGTTGTTGTTGGGTGAGAGGCGGAGGAGGGATTGAAGGTTGGGCCATGATGATGTGTAATGAAAATTCTCGATAAACGTAACGTTTGAGTGTTTGAGTGTTTGAGAGTTAGGGTTTTAAGAGAGAAAATTATTGTTAGGGCACCAACAGCAAACAACAGTCGAACAGCCCAATGACTCGACGAGGGATTGGAATTGGAACTGATTTTGGGAATTTTGTGTTTTTGATGATGGGTAATTCTAATTTTAACTTTAATTTCATTTCAAAGCCTCTTCGTCATCTCCTTCTTTGCCTTTCAATTTTTTTGGTCATGGTAGGGCGCATAATTTTGTTCACAGTGCGAGGCAATTTCGGAATTTGCAATTGGAAGGTGCTCCATCTCACGAGGATGTCACGTGATCCTGGGATTTCAATTGTGCTATTGCATTTCAAAATTTGGGACTGGTTACTCAAAAGTAAAAACTAAAGAAAACGTTTCATGTACCATCTGAGTTTCATAAAAAAACAATTTTTGAGGTTCTAAATGCACCTCAAGTTTTACTCTTTATAATTTTTTTTAAAATTTTTTATAAATTAAATTATTTAATTATTTTTTTATAAATTACTAAAAACTTATATTATTTTTTGAAAATTGATTTTTGAAAAGTTATATGACTTTTTTAAAATAGATTTTTGAAAAGTTATATGATTTTTTCAAAAATAGATTTCTAGAAAGTCATATGAAAATAAATTTTTAAAGTCATAGAAAACAAAAGTCATATGAAAATAAAATATCATAACGATTTGAAATAATTAATTATTTAAATAGTCATAATTATTTGAATTCCTTGATAAATAGATTTATTTTTTAAATCTTTTACTTATTAATTTTTAGTACTTTAATAAATTAGTATTATTTTATTTTGAATAAATTTTTATAAACAGAAATATTTGGTTCATGATAAAATAAAAGGTCATAACGATTTCAAATAGATAATTATTCAAATAATCATAACTATTTTAATGTGTTCAGAAAATATATTTATTTTTTAAACTTTTACTTGTTAATTTTTGAAATATTAATTAATTTATATTATTTTATTCGAAATAAGCTTTTATGAACAGAACCAATTATTTTATGACAAAACAAAAGTCCATAAAGTTTTGAAATAAATAATTATTCAGATAGTCATAATTATTTAAACATGTTCGGTAAACAGATTCATTTTTTAATTCCATTACTCATTAATTTTAGAACATTAATAAATTAATATTATTTTATTTTAGATAAGCTTATATAAATTGAAACAATTGTTTTATTATAAAACAAAATATTACAATAATTTGAAATAGATAATTATTCAAATAATCATGATTATTTGAACTTATTCAGAAAATATATTTATTTTTTAAATCTTTTATTTATTAATTATCGAAATATTAATAAATTAATATTATTTTAATCCATATAAGCTTGTATAAATAGAAATATAATTTTCTAATAATAATTTTTTATTATACTAATTAATAAAAATTTCCAATAAAATTTTTTGTAATTTTTTAAAATTTTAATATCTCATTTTTTGAAAATAAATTTTTAAAAAATGATATGACTTTTTCAAAAATTATTCAAGTAGTCATAACTATTTAAACAATTATCTATTTCAAATCGTTATGATATTTTGTTTTGTCATGAACCAAATGTTTTCTATTTATAAAAGCTTATTCAAAATAAAATAATACTAATTTATTAAAATACCAAAAATTAATAAGTAAAAGATTTAAAAAATAAATTCGTTTATTAAGGAATTTAAATAGTTATGACTATTGAATAATTATTTATTTCAAATTGTTATGATCTTTTGTTTTGTCATAAAACAATTGTTTCTATTCATACAAATTTATTTGAAATAAAATAATAATAATTTATTAATATTCTAAAAATAAATAAGCTAGTGATTTAAAAAATAAATCTATTTACCAAACAAATTCAAATAGTCATGTCCATTTAAACTATTATCTATTTCAAATAGTTATGACATTTTGTTTTATCATAAAATAAGTGTTTCTATTCATACAAAACTATTCAAAATAAAATAATACTAATTTATTAATATTTCAAAAATTAATAAGAGATTTAAAAATAAAATATATTTATCGAATCATTTCAAATAATTATGAGTATTTAAACAATTATCTATCTCAAATCATTATGATCTTTGTTTTGTCATAAAACAATTGTTTTTGTTCATACAAGTTTATTCGAAGTAAAAAATATTGCTAAATTAATAATATTCTAAAAATTAATAAGTAAGAGATTTAAAAAATAAATATATTTGTCGAACTAGTTCAAATAGTTAAGACTATTAGAACAATTATCTATTACAAATCATTCTAACCTTTTGTTTAGTCATAAAATAATTTTTTTTAGTTCATACATGCTTATTTGAAATAAAATAATACTAATTTATTAACATGCAAAGCATTAATACATAAGATATTTAAAAAAATAAATATGTTTACCGAACAAGTTTAAATAATTATGACAATTTAAATAATTATGTATTTAAAATAAATATAACCTTTTGTTTTATCATAAAACGATTGTCTCAGTTTATATAAGCTTATTTGAAATAAAATAATATTACTTTATTAATATTTCAAAATTTGATAAGTTAAAGATTTAAAAAATAAGTCAGTTTATCGAATCAGTTCAAATAATTATAGCCATTAAATAGTTATCTATTTCAAATCATTGTGAACTTTTCTTTTGTCATAAAACAATTATTTTTCATCATACAAGCTTATTCGAAATAAAATAATACTAATTTATTAATATTTTAAAAATTAATAACTAGGAGACTTAAAAAATAAATCTGTTTAATAAACCAATTCCTATTGAAACAATTATTTATTTCAAATTGTTAAAACCTATTGTTCTGTTATAAAATAATTATTTTAGTTCATATAAACTTATTCGAAATAAAATAATACTAATTTAATAGTATTTCAAAAATTAATAACTAAAAGATTTAAAAAATAAATTTGTTTGCTAAAACAGTTCAAACAGTTAAGATTATATGAACAATTATTTGTTTTAAATCGTTATAATCTTTTGTTTTATCATAGAACAATTGTTTCAATTTATACAAGCTTATTTGAAATAAAATAAAACTAGTTTATTAATATTTTGAAATTTAATAAGTGATTTAAAAAGTGAATCTATTTACTAAATCAATTCAAATAATGATGGCCATGTCAACAATTATCAATTTCAAATTATTATTACATTTTGCTTCATCATATAATAATTGTATTTGAACATTCAAGCTTATTTAGAATAAAATAATACTACTTATTAATCTTTCAAAATTAATAAGTAAGAGATTTAAAAAATAAATTTGTGTACTGAACTAGTTCAAATAATTTTGACTATTTGAACAATTGTAAGCTTAAAATCATTATAACCTTTTGTTCTATCATAAAATAATTATTTTTATTCATACGAGTTTATTTGAAATTAAATAACACTAATTTAATAATATTCCCAAAATTAATAACTAAAAGAATTAAAAAATAAATTTCTTTGTCAAACTTATTCAAATATTTAAAACTCTATGAACAATTTATCTATTTCAAATCATTATGACCTTTTGTTTTGTCATAAAATAAGTTTTTTTTGAATTTATACTAGCTTATTTAGAATAAAATAAAATGAATTTATTAATATTTCAAAAATTAATAAGTAAGATATTTAAAAAATAATTTTGTTTTCCTAACCATTTTAAATAATTATGACTATTTGAATAATTATCTATTTCAAATCGTTAGACCCTTTGTTTTGTTATAAAACAAATGTTTTTGTTCATATAAGTTTGTTCGAAATAAAGTAATACTAATATATTAATATTTCAAGAATTAATAAGTGATTTAAAAAATAAATCTATTTATCAAACTAGTTCAAATAGTTATAACTATTTCAGCAATTATTTATTTCAACATACAAGCTTTTTTGAAATAAAATAATACTAATTTATTAATATTTCAAAAATTAATAAGACATTTAACAAATAAATATGTTTGTTGAACTAGTTCAAATAGTTATGACTATTTGAATAATTGTCTATTTTAAATTATTATAACATTTTTGTTCTATCATAAAAAATTGTTTCTATTTATACAAGCTTATTCGGAATAAAATAATGCTAATTTAGTAATATTCTGAAAATTAATTACTAAGATTTAAAAAATGAATCTGTTTGTTAAACCAGTTCAAACAGTTAAGGCTATATGAACAATTATTTATTTCAAATTGTTATAACCTTTTGTTTGTCATAAAACAATTATTTTCAGCTTATATAAGCTTATTCAAAATAGAATAAAATTAATTTATTAATATTTAAAAAATTTATAAGGAAGAGATTTAGAAAATAATTCTATTTACCGAACCAATTTAAATAATTATAATATTTGACAATTATCTATTTTAAATCGTAATTACTTTTTGTTTTGTCATAAAACCATTGTTTTGGTTAATATAAGTTTGTTCGAAATAAAATAATACTAATTTATTAATATTTAGAAAATTAATAGTAAGATATTTAAAAAATAAATTTGATTACCAAACTATTTCAAATAGTTTTGACTATTTATATAATTATCTATTTCAAATCATTATAACATTTTACTTTGTCATCAAACAATAGGTTCTATTAATACTATTTTATTCAAAATAAAATAATGCTAATTAAATAATATTTCAAAACTTAATTACCCAGAAAATTAAAAAATAAATCTAATTGCCTAACCAGTTCAAATAGTTAAGATTATAAGAATAATTATCTATTTCAAATCGTTATGACCTTTTCTTTTGTTGTAAAACAATTGTTTTGTTGGTACAAGCTTATTCGAATTAAAATAATATTAATTTAATAATATTTCAAAAATTAATAAGTAAGAGATTTAAAAAATAAATTTGTTTACCAAATTAGTTCAAATGGTTAATACTATTAGAATAATTTTCTATTTTAAATCGTTCTAACCTTTTATTGAGTCATAAAATAATTATTTCAGTTCATACAAGCTTATTTAAAATAAATTAATACTAATTTATTAACATTCAAAAAATTAATAAGAAAGAGATTTAAAAAATAAATCTGTTTGCTGAACAAGTTCAAATAGTTATTATTATTATAACAATTGTCTATTTTAAATTGTTATAACCTTTTGACTTGCCATAAAACAATTGTTTCAGTTAATACAAGTTTAGACAAAATAAAATAATACTAATTTATTAATATTTTTTAAATTAATAAGTAAGAAATTTAAAAAATAAACATGTTTACCGAATTAAT